GACCCCTGGAAGAGCCAATCCTGTCCCTCACAACAATTTAAAAATTATTCGAGAGCCATAAATATATTTTTACATAATCACCACTATGTGATTAATATCCTTTAAAAATTTTATAAATGAAACTATGATAGTTTTATTTTCATTTTCAATTTTACTTCAGAGCCTGCAGCTCCCTAGCCGCAGTTTGCTGACCCCTGGGGGCTCTTCCATCTCAAAAGTTTGCCGACCCCTGGTCTAGCCAAATAAGAAGGATCTTTTTCTTCCAATGGTCTTTTTGGAAGAACAAGAATACTTTTCCCAGAAGCTCCCCAGAAACAATGCCCGCATTTCAGAGACCAGAAATGAGTCACTGGGTCCGTGTCCCCAACTAAACAATCAAGGGCTAAATTCTGTTGTGAAAAACAAAAATAAAAAATAAACAATGAAGGGCAAGTGGAATGAGTCTGCCATGATTGGCTCGGGCTGATCAGGATTTACCCTGGATTCCTGGACTTGAAGCAGAGGAGTGACATGATCAGATTTATCTTTTGAAAAGGCCACTTTGTATGGAGAACAGATTGCAGGACCATGAGAGTAGGAGAGTGTTTGCGAAACCGCTGTAATAGTTCAGCAAGAGACAACTGCACGATTTGGTGGTGGAGATGGAGAAGTGAGTGACTTCCAGAGAAAGTGAGGAGGTGGAATGGACAGGACTTGGCCGTGGGTTAGATATGGGGGTGGTGGGGGGCTGAAGATGAGGGGGGTATCATGGGTGACAGGTTGATTACTGGCTTGAGCTACTGGATGAATGGTGAGGCCACTCACTGAGATGAGAAACAGTAAACCATATTGTTTACAGGAGGGTGGGAAATGGGGAAACAGTTCTGTTTGGGACAGGTAATGTTTGGCGGGTGCTTTTCTAAGTGTCACTGTTACTGGAGAGTGGGCCCTTCTTAGCGCGATGCCAGGGCTTGGTTCCCACATGGCGGGGGGGTCGAACCTGGGCCTCCTGGATGAAAACTGGGAATCCTAGCCGCTATGTCACCAGGGGGTGGGCCCTCCTCGGCACGGTGTCCAGGTTCTTGGAGTCTCAAGCAAAGAATTGAACAAAACACAGAGGTAATGTGGTGAAAGAGCAGTTTATCAGAAGAAAAAGTACACTCCAAAGGGATAGGAGCAGACCTGAGCAAAAGCATGGCTCAAAAGGTGCCAGCTGGTGAGGACTTGGTGGTTTAATTCTCTTTGATCTAGAATGGGCTTCTCCTCCCTAGGTGTGGGGTCACTTGATTGATACCTGTGATTGACAAGAGGCTATTACCTCATCTTTTTATTTTAATTTTATTTTATTTTAGCTGAGCCATCCTACCTCCTGTTGGCAGCTCAGAGGCTGCTCAGCTCTGGCCGGGAATCGAAATGCTGTGCTCAGAGCTCACACTCTTGAGCGAGCTCTTAACCAACTGAGCCACTTGGCCGGCCCTTATTACCTCATCTTTTTAGACTGCATGTTTATTCCCAGAACAGTCTGTTATAATGATGTTAATAAATTTGCGGGCATATGTATGATATTATAATGATGGCCTAATGACGCCCAGGTGAAATGACGGTCATTGTAATCTTTACTATGCAGGTGTGACTGACTGGTCTAATCTAGTTGGGTATTTTGTACCCATTTGTTTCCTCATAGGGGTAGATAATTATAGTGAAAAGGGGAAGTATTGGGTGGAGATGGGAGGTCTTTTGGGTGGTCGCATTCTGTGGGTTGTGTGGGACATGTAGGAATGCAGAGACCCAATGCCTGCCTCTAACTGCCTGTCTTGTTTTCCCCTTGAGAGACGTGATTCCCATAAAATCTCTATGGGAAGTTGAGGAACAGGAGGTCTTTTCTTCTGTATCTGCTTCCTGCTGGGCAGGGGCGTAGAGCTGTCCCTGCCTATTGGGGGATTCATGGAACTCGCACCCTATCTGACTTAGATGAGAGGAAGGGGTCTCGAGATCTGCCTGGAAGACCATGTTGGCTTCTTTGGTTGGGACTGGTAATCTTGCTGGGGCATCATCTGTATCCCCAAGGCCCCTGAATGAGGAAAGCTAGATTTTAATTAATAAATTTAAAAGTGTTGGCTTAAAGAGCAGAGCTCAAAACTATTGATGCAGGGTGGCTATGTGATGGAAAGTCCGTCAACTCTATGAGCCTGTGGCCATTCAACCGGTCACTCAGGTGGCATCAATTGTCCAGGAGCTGGGCCCAGAACGGGTTGGAAAGAACATTAGGCTTCAATGATTACAATCAACAAGTATAAATCACAAGTTTCAGGGCAATTATCTAAAGCAGGGGGTAAAAACACTTTGTTATGATTCAGGCTAAAAACGACCTGTTGCCTACAATTAAGAAACTGATTTACAAAATAATTAAGAAGCAGTGGGGGTAGGAGCTAAGAAACTGGGGAAAAAGAAACTAAGGAAAAGGAGAGTTAAAATCCCCATAGGAAAGAAAACTTAAAGTTTATCGGGAGGTGGGGGGGGGGCGCTACTCGCTTGGCCTGTGTCATTACCACTTCTGTCCCCGATACCTGCTGACTTGTTCTTCATCACTGACAGATCCTCCATTTTTGTTCAGGAGTCCAACTCTCCAGTGGTTCTCCATCACTCTCGGAGCAAAGAACAAACTCCTTACGGTGGCTGGGGCCCAGCATGGCAGGGCCAATACCGGTCTAGCCCCACTTGTCCCAGGCTCCAGCCACTCACACCCTTATAGTCCCCTGGAGGTGTGATGCCCTCTTTGCCACAGCACAAGAGGGGGACTTTGCACTGGATGTTCCCCTTGCCTGGAACATTCTTTTCTCTCCCATCCGCACCCCCCAGATCTTGGCTCAAACACCACTTCCTCAGGGCCACTTGTGTTTATTTGGGAGATGATGT